GAAAGTCAAATTTCTATCACATGTTTTGCACTTTATTATTTCACTGAGACTGGAAAACATCGCAAAAAAATTGATAATACGATAATCGTGCATCACATTTACCGATACTTCTGCGTGAGAACTTTTTAGTTTTCTCGCGGATGCATTTGTAGAAGCAGTTTCGCGTTCAAATTCATGACGATTGGGCGGTTTTGGTCTTTTTTTGGATTACTTGCGCGTCCTAATATTGTCCTTGAACCCTTTCTATTAACTCTTTTTTGGCTCTCCATATTGAAAGTAATATTCCGAATAAAGTTTCGTAAAATAACACGTGCTATGACATCATACGATTGACTAACGGTTTCTTTAGCTTTGTATAGTCTACAATACGTTACAAAGAAGAGAGGATACATAATAACATTTAACATTCAACAATAACAACATTCTGACCTATTAGACCTGCCTAGGCTGTTAGAACGCGTACGGCCAGATCCGGAGCAGCCGGCGCGCAAGCACGAGCCTGTTGTTGGCCGGCTGTATGCCCGATGTAGGTTCTGTAACTCAGAAACTAACTCAAATTTATACTTGGGATCTTTTGTTCCTTATTCTAGAAGTTTCAAACTATTTTTTAAACAAATTTAAAAAAAAAATTTGTTTCGGTTTTTTGAAAATTTTACACCGGTCTAACCCCTTAATAAATTTTATCGCATTCATACGAAAGAAAGATCAGAAAACTTTGACCAGGGTGCTTCTTGTATGTATCTGTAAATGTCCACTTTTAATGCCATATGAGTTGAAAAACATCAGGCTCTGCTGGGATCGAAACCCAGGTTTTTCGCTTGTCAGGCTCACTGAGCTATTTGAGACTTCATGTTTATGACATCTATATACCCAGTGAAAAATGATTCGATGATTAACGTCAAAATGATATCAAACTGACGTCGGTTTGATGATTTCAACGTTGATTTGATTGAAACGTCGACAGTGAATTGACGGTGGAAACTCTTAGCGTGGCGCTTGATTTCAATCAATCATACACAACAGTATGCAACGAAACAACAGTTCTTCGCGTCTCTCATACTGCACGTAAGATGACATTATGCTTCAAATTAACATATTCCTCTTGATATAGAAGAACACAATTAGAATAATATCTCATAAATGCACGATGAGTGGTTCTCTTTAATGAATATGCTTTCTGTAAGATATTTCTTTTAGAATATGGGGTTAGAGGAAAATTCACTTTGTAGGTAGAATACTTTTTTTGGGTGTATGTTACTATTTCTGAGTTCATCTTTAGATGTAAAAAAAATTCTTTTAACTGAACTGAACTCTGAAGAATTCTTTCCGCATCCCTTATAGAAATATCATACTAAGAATCATTGATAATTACTTATTTTCAGTATTAAAAATACTGGATAATAAGTAATTATCAATGATTCTTAGTATGATATTTCTATAAGGGATCTGAAAATGAACTCAGAATTGGTGACATACGACTGCATTCTTTTTAAATTCTTTTCAAATTCTCTGTATTATCTAGGGTTGCAATACACTTTGTTCACATTCTTTGAGGAGCTCGAAAACATTTCATTAACGTTTGTTGGACAGTTCGATGACACTTTGTTTACACTGCTTGAAGAACTCGGTAACATCCAGAGAGCACACAATATTTACTATAAAGATTCATAAATATTTATTTCGAATTATTATTTAAAAATATTATATACATATTTTATAAGTATTTTATTATGTACATATATGTACATAAAGAAAAAAACTATCAAAATCTTTATTCAAAATATTACTAAAATATAGACTAAATATTTTATATAATATATATGGTAAAAAAAATTAATATGTTCAGTATAATATTTTATGTACATAAAGAAAAAGAGTATCAAAATATTCAAAATATTGTTACGTGCGCCGTCTGATATACTTCTCAACCGCGAGTCAGCTGCTAATCGTGAGAGTCGATCGGCTCCGGTCAGCTGTTCGCTATGTCAACGGATCAGCTGTTTGCTACGGCAACGAAGTGTCAACGAGAGTTGAAGAGAGATTGCGTTTGACGTGTCTCTGACTTCTCTCAGTTTCTTAAAACGCTTGCTTGTATATAGATAGAAATAGAGTTCTTGTTTGTTCCGCGAAACCCTGTGTTATTTTCATTTCCGCGTTCCGCGCGCGTAACATTTTGGGGGCTCAGCCGGGATACAATTGTTCGCGATCCAACGGTCAGGGTCCACGAGCCGACGATCGGACGAATTCTAAAATACAAATGCGGCGGGATGCGAGTGAGTGGTTTAGTGCAGTGTTACAGAGAGCTTTTCTAAAAATGTCAATGGCTCACTCCTCTGTGAGAACCCGCTCTCAAGCCATGACATTGACTCCGGCAGAGAACGCTTCGAGGCTGTGCTGTTGCAGCTGCACCAGCTGCGCGAAGAGCGGCGGCAGGAGAGTCAGGAGCAGACGCGTTTCCGCAGCGAGATGGAGGCTCGTCTTCAGGAGTACGACGTTGTCCTGAACCGTTTGGAGCAGCTACTTTCACAGCTAAGTCCCTCCGAAAATGTCACTTCGTGTGAGAGCGTGAGAGGCGCGATACGTGAATCATGCGAGTCGTGCGCAGAGATGGCGGCGAACGGGGACGGGCGAGCGGTTTCTGTGTTAAAGCTTAAGCCGGATATTTTCGACGGGACGGCTCCGTTGCGCAAATTTTTGTCTCAATTTTTATTAATTGCGAATGCAAATCGATGGTCGGAAACGGAGAGGGCAGTTGTAATGGCTTCCTGTCTCTGAGGAAAGGCGCGTTCGGTACTCGATTCTGTGCGACGATGGAAACGGTACCCTCATTTTCGCGGATCTTAGATCGAAATTGAAGCTGCGTTTCGGCGAGGGCGAGCTCACGCAGAATTTTTATTTGCAATTTATTAACCGGAAGCAATCCGGAAGAGAATTTTGCGTCGGTCAGCGCAGATTTGAAGCGCTTAACACGAAAAGCATATCCCGAGTGCCCGCTTGAAGTGCGTGAAAAAATCGCCTGTTCTCAATTTATCGTTGCTTTGTCTAACGGGTTTGTAAAACGCTCTCTTCAAGTGGAGGGGATAAGTTCACTTTGCCTGGCAATTGAGCGCGCAAAAACGTTAAAGTTAATAAACCAGAGTAGTTTTCCGGAAAGAAAAGAAGTAGCGTCGAATTCTCATACTGACCGCAGTCGTGGCGAAATTTTGAAACGGGCGCGGGAAGCGAAGAAAAAAATTTTTTGCTGAGAATGGAAAGGGGAGAATGTGGAAGTTGAAAGAATGTTGGCAGTGTGGTGCTACCGTTCTGAGTATCCGACGCTGGAAAGATCGGAAAACTAAGTTTTGTCGGGTTGATCGGGGCTAGCCCGGCAGGAGAAGCTCGGACCTCGGTTTGCGCGCGCGGCCCTGCCGCTCTCGTGCGCCGTCTCGGAGGGATGGGTACAGTCGCGCGCGGACGTTTTCGTGTAAAAGTGAATTTAAATAATAGGCCGTGTATTTTTAAGATAGATACAGGCTCGGACGTGTCTATGTTAAGCGTCAGAATGGCGGTTTCTTTGAAATAGGAACCGATAGTTTCTTGCAATTTGAGATATCCTACGGCAGAAAAGGTGTCTGTAGTTTCTCAAGTTTTCGCCACAGTTTCTATAGGAAAGATAAATATTGATTTGCCGTTCTATGTTGCGGAAATTAGCGACGAATGCATTCCTGGAGAGAATTTTCTCTCCTAAACCGGAATTTTTCACGGTTTTTTTGAAAACGCCTTCGGTTTGACGAGAGGCGAAGTAATGGAGGAGAGCATGATGATTTGTTCTGGGATAAAGAATTGCCCTGCTAAGCTCCCTGTTTCACTTTTCCGAATTTTCGAGGAAAGTTCTCGAAATCTGAATACTCCTGAAAAACAGATTTTCTCTGATTTTTTTACTGAAATTTGATATATTCTCTGAAAACATTGTTGCCGGAAATTGTAATATTTTGTGTCATAACATAAAATTGTGTGATTCTCGTCCTATTAAGCAGGTACCTTGCCGAATTCCTCTGCATTTACGATTCAAGGTGAATAAAATTTTGGAGGAGATGAAATCTCAAGGGTTAACAGAAGAGTCTAACAGTTCTTGGACTTCTCCAGCAGTTTTGGTAAAAAAAAAACGGAACTATAAGATTTTGCGTTGACTTTCGAAAGTTAAATGTTGTCACAATAAAAGATTCCTATCCGCTTTCAAGGATAGACAGTATTTTGGACTGTTTGGCAGGGAATTCATGATTTTGTACTCTTGATTTAAAAAGCGGATATTAGCAAGTGAGTCTAGATCAAAAGGATCGAAAGAAAACTACTTTTTCTATCGGTGACGGTCTTTGGCAATTTACTGTTATGCCTTTCCCACATAGAACAAAATATCTCATAGACGTATATAATAAATCTATAAATCTATGGAACATCTATGTCTATTGAAGATGTTATCTATTGGGAGTGTGAATAAGTTCTCGCCGTTTCACCATCAGATGGCGGTATAAAAATTTTGTGTGTATAATTCAAGATGATGACGCATCTGTATTGAAGTTCTATAACCTATGTTTAAAATCAGTGCGTGTCTTTCCATTAACCTATAAAGAACATTTTCTTTTCGTAGCGTAAAACATGTCAAATTTCGTGCCAAATAAACCGTTTTTGCGGGGAATTTTACTGCACTACTTTATTCAGAAGAAATCTGCAGCTGAAGCACACAGAATTCTTGTAGAAACCTATGGTGATCATGCTCTGTCGGAAAGAACATGCAGAGATTGGTTTAACCGATTTAAAAATGGTGATTTTGATGTTCAAGATAGAGAACGCAGTGGTGCACCAAAAAAGTTTCAAGACGAAGAATTGGAAACATTACTTGCTGAAGATCCATGTCAGACGCAATCCGATGTTGCAAAATCATTAGGAGTTGATCGAACAACAGTTTCGAAACGTCTGACAGCATTAGGAATGATACAAAAGGAAG